CGATCACGATTCGCTGGCCATCTCATCTGGTAGCTCCATCTCGATCGGCCGCCTGCCCACCCACCCGCTAGCACTCCGCCCATTCGGTCACCCGCCCACACTCTCAGATGCCCATAGGCTCACCCACCTGCCACACTCGCTCTCCAGTCCACCTGCTAATCCGACCACATGCTTACACCTTCAACCACGCACATGATCACCTCTCCACCCACGTGCCCACCCACCATCTACCCATCTGCTCACCAACCTACAAGCTGTGCCTACGTGATCAAACGCCCACGCGATCACTCGCTCACACGATCCACGCCCACATCCGAATTTACTTTTTCATGTGTGACAATATGTCTATAAAACTACCTCACTTTTCCTGTAGTATTTTCCCAAAAATATATCCACTTTTCGTAACGCCCATGAATTAAAAAGGGATGCATACTAATTACAATTCATGTAAGTTTCTTCCTTGTCAACTAAGATATTACGTGAGTTGCAAAACGACTCTACGGTGGAAATATTGAAAAGGATTTGTTCCTTAAACATGTTTCATGTGACTGCTATTGGCACCTTCCTGGCAATTTCATCTTTGGTAGACTTTCTCCTTTGTCCTTGAGGAAACGAAAATAGGAATATACTGGGTCAAGAACGATAGGCGAGAGTGAAATACGTCACCATTTGCAATGAAAGACGAAGACAGGCTAAAAACGATTTCTGACAAAATTTCTGCTTTCGTTTAGATCAAGAAGAGGAAATAAATTAAAAACTGAAAATATCCATGATAAAAAGATTGTATAAAAATATGTAATAATTTTCAAACACATTTATTCATTCAGAATTAAACTCATTTAAACCTCTCTTTAGGATCAATTATGTATTTTCTGTTCCAAAAGGCTGTTTTTCAAAATCCAACTTTTATTTTCGAACGTGTCTCTTTCTGATTGATATATCATTCATACTAAAGAACATTCTATTTCTAATTTAAATAGGAAGCGCTTTCATGCGCTGGAGAGAAGTAAATACTGCTGTTCTGAGTATCTGTTTTTCGTAATTTATCATTTTTCACTGATCAAGAGAGACCATTTTTCAAGACGGTTGTAACTCAGTGTAAATGTTTATGGATAAATAAATTAGTTTTATGATGTGATTTTGAATTCATCTATTTATTAAATGAATCACAAACACCACATCTCTTTCAAATATTATTTGTAGGATGGCTTAAACTCATTCTTTAGTGAATGTGATTGATGAACTTCTTTACTTTAAACACCTATTTTCATTAAATCCGATAATGCATTCAAAAACGTAGTTAAAAGTCGATCCTTTCGATCATTGTTGATTTGAAAATTTGCTTTGCGGTTGTCTTAACAGAAATAAAAATAAATGTTTTTTAATGGTTCACACCGTCAATTTAATCATTGAGTGAGTACAATGATAAAATATCTGTACACATTGATCTTTAATATTACAGAATTGGTTATCTTTCAACAAAACTTTATTTTTTCGTCTAATTGTAACTCGCACTATTTTCGTTCAAGCCCCTGATACCCTTAATGCGTGCTCGATCAAGTAAGTTCTTGTTATATTTCTTGTGACACTATTGTCCGAAAACAAACACGTTTATTTAAGCAAAAATTATTTTCCATCATTTTTGTGGAGAAAAAAATGATGAAAGAAATGGCCGTGTAAAACGGGCTTTAGAAATTATTTGTATCGATAAACGAGCTACAGATTTGATATAACACTGCAGCTAATATAACCAACCTCACTCCTCTAGCATCTAGCGAAAAGAGAACACGTGAGAAAGTGCGCGGATTGTAGTATCTTCGCAAGTATTTGCGAGTGGGGAGTGCGTCACCCTGCCGCGATCTTCGCCGCCGCCGCCCCCTCCGCCGGCTACGGGCACGTGCCGTACCGCCTCTCAAACGCCGCCGCGTCGCCGCGCCCGCCGGTGGCCGCCGCCGCCCCGCCGCCGCCGTCGCCGCCAGCCGCCGTCGCGTCACCTGCTCCCGCCGCCGCCGCCCCCGTAACAGCTCGCCCATCACCGCTCCAGCCGCCGTCGTACCCGCTGCCCTCCGCCGCCTGCCGCCGCCCCCACCGGTCTGGCCGGCACATGGGCGTTCACCTGGGGCCGCCGCTCAACCGCCTCCCCCGCCCCAGCGCGCCGTAGGCCCATGCAGCCGTTGTCGCTGCCGCCTGCCGCGTGCGTCTGCCAGACGTCGCAACGTCGCCGTCGCCGTCAATACAGGTGAGACAGTTCAGCCTGTCCTTGTTTGCCCGCCCGCCCGTTTGGCGCGAACGGTGTGGGCCGCGGTGGGTGTGCTGCGGGGTTTTAATGCGACGAGGCCTCCAGGAATGTTGCAGTCACTGCCGGACGACTCACGGCCAAGGATTTTCGCGGCCAGCGGTATCTTGGTGGAAATGTTGCAGTATTTGATTCCACGCGATATTTGGGAGTTTTAGCACAACGTGTAAGATAGCGCCGTCACGCACTGTCACGTGACGGACTTAGCAGTCATAACGCTCACCTTAGGATTAAGCCACGACTTCACACTTTCATAAATAGTGTGAGTTATTAAATCTACGGAAACACGGAAAATGACCGCTTATAAACAGGCAAGGTTGGGTGTCCGACTCTGGTAATAATAAATGGAGAATGTTAAAAAGGTGATAGTAAAAATTCGCGAGAAAGAAGTTGAAATTATATCTTCGTGATTTGTTTTACTCTGGACTCGCAGCGTAGTTCTAATGTCTCATCAGTTGTCTTCTCTCTTTGATGTATTGTACAACTTCTCTGTTTTAACGCTTGAAATGATTCTTTTGTTATAATGCTTAACGCAGCCTCATTTACGAAAGCTCATCTCTATGTGATTCCTTACGATCTAATAACGTCGTTTGTCACTTGATCAATAGAGTTTAAGGATGTGTCCTTACTCTGACGCTGTAACTCACTATTTGATAACGAATCGCAATAATAGGGACTTTCGCACAGCGTAGTGTACAGTAATTGATGCCAATGTCGAAACCAATAGTTGGTGAAGTAGAGAAAGAATATGTGTCAAGGTCGAAATAGAAGTAGTTTCGAATTGTAGTGGCAGCGTGCGCGCTAAATTACCATAATGTCTCGTCCTCTTGACTCGTATATGTGAACAACTAACGTTGTTCTCCATGAACCACTGACACTGAATTATTATTATTATTATATTAAATGTAGCTACTGACGTATACTCGTATAGAGTTAATTATATTTACTGATTAATGCTGCCAACATGATGTTGATCATGGGAATATAAACACACGGCACAATCTGCCGCCATAATTGGAAACAAACTCAATTTAGAATGGTCGACTAATCGATCAAAATGCGATATAAGTCGCTTCCTAAATCTGGCGGATTAGCTGGTTCAAAAGTGGCTTACGCTAAGGTACTTTACGTCATTGAAAAACTCCCTTATCAGCAGAATTATCAAAGTATCGGTACGTTTGGTATTGATTTCATTCTGTTGTTACCTGAATCAAAAATTTATTTTCTAGCGAGATAAGTGTTTTTAAATGCTACTGTTTCAAGTAATATGACAATGCGTCTATTTGGAGAAATATATTAAATCATCTCTCTACTACGTATTTGTTTCTTATTATAAAAAATACGTTGTTGTGACTGCTTAATAAAGATCAATCTACGAAACGTGCCTGGCCGTTTGCTCTTTCATTAGCCGCAGAAACCAGAGAAAGACTTTACGACTTATGGAGATATATATTTAACGAAAAATTGGCCGTTAATTGAGACGACCGCTTAATTGAGGTGTCCCTTTTGAGCAGGGTTTACTATAGTTACACTTGAAAAAAAACACCTGATACTCAATTTCATGTTAACGTGTCTCAAAACGAGAGTAATTTTTTGCAACGAGAATGAGCGTGGGCGAATGTGTTTCAATGAATTATAGATATATTTTGGCACGATAAACGACAAAAATAGACTGACAATTATTGTCTTATTTGGTCGTCAATCCTGCTCTATCATAAATATAACGAAAAACGTTAAAAAACTTTTTTTAAAATGTGATATAAGATGTGTTTGTAATGTAGATATCATTGCCTTAAAAGATGTGCATACAGTAGTGTAAATAGTAGTACAAACTCCACCGAGTTTGCAGATCCCCTCTTTTGGCGGCCGCCATCTGCGGGGGTTTGATGAGTAAGAGTGCGTGAACGAACGCCCGGGGATTAGAGAGTGCGTGGCGCATATGCGCGCGTGTGTTTTTGACGCGCTTTGTTTATTCGAAAGCAGTTGGAAACAAAAAAATATCGTGTGTGTTGGATTAAACCGAATTCCTTCCTGCCTCTATACAGCGGGGGAAAAAATTAAAGGTATACAAATGTGTTTCCTGGATGAGAGAGGCAAGAGGATGATGCGGGAAATAATGAACGCTTTTATCAATAACCTTTGTTTAAAAAAACAGTTTATGTAATGCGAATTATATGTAGAGATAGTTTCATACGTTATATTTAAAGCGAAAGAATGAACTCAAAAGGAACATGTAACTATTGATTTCAACAAGACAGTCGTGAACGAGACATGTGTATTTTTGAGATACTTGCGCAAATAATATAATTATTTGTTCCTTCTAGTGACATCGATTTTGTACCCATTTCCTCATACCGTAACAATACCCTGGGCAATCTAGAGCAGTTTCTTGTTTTCTTCATCAGTGCGTTTAATTGCTGTAGACTCTGATCATGCACGATTTTTTAAAACTATTTTTCAAGAACTTCTCTCGTGCATCAATCAAGAAATGGAAATTATGTTTTAAAATCAGGTCCCTTTCACTTCTATCTTCGTGTCAAACTCATTGTATCGGTATAAAAATATTCACCAGACGATTGACGTATGTTTAGTTTCAAGTACAGAAACGTTAAGATCTTGTTTTGACAGTAAAGGCATTTTTATATGTGCGTTTTTTGTTGTTGTTTTTTTTTTTTTGTGTTTGTTGAATATCATATAAATATTTTATTTTGTAAACTATTTTTTTATTATTTTGTAAATATTTTTTTATTATTTTCTGTAATTATTGTTGTACAAAATGAAATGTAATCAACTAAAGGGGACTGTGATCTCACAGATTTTTTGCGGATTGAACAGCGAATTTGGTAAATTGCGAAAGCATCACCGTCCAGATGCGCTATTAGAACAATATGCATTTCGTTGCTTGCAAAGTGTTCGAAAGCCCCATATTGCCTCTGGTTTGGGCATTGCAGAGCAGTATAGCTCTGAAGCAGGCCACAGCAAGATGGCCGAAACGTCAGCACAATTGACCGAGACGCGGCTCATTCCGGATAGCCAAGAATGCATTGACTCCGGCCACGAAAGCCTACGAACCCATATTGCCTCTGTTTCTTCTTGTGGCATTCATTGAACATTCTTCTGTCTGTGAATTAATATATGACTGAATTCTGGTATCTTAATACTTGAACACTCTTAGGTCGCTACCTCTTCGTTGTATAAGATTTCTACGCTTATCCGCTTATTGTTTGTTATCAAAACTCTTGGATCAGACCTAGAAAAAGTGATAAGCTATGATACATTAGTTTCTAAGGATACTCTGCGAAGCACCAATCCAAATTTTCATTCGCTTGCATGGCGCAAATGAACTGTTTACTGTTTACAAATGAACTGTTCTGGCAGTTTAATTAATTAGTCGCGTGGACACAGCTTGAGCTGTTTAGTCGGATTATAAAATCACATTAATCCTGTTTGTTACCAAACTCCAGGCCGTGTGAGAGGAGAAATAGTGAATTCAGACACTGTCGCAGACTCTAAGAATTGTTCATATTATTAATTCCCAGGATTTAAAACACAACATTTGAGGTTTTATTCTTAGTTCGTATTGACGCTAAATTGACATATTTTATTAGCTGTGATTCATTTTTCAGTTCCGAATCCGCATTCATTCTGAAAATATGCTTGGTCATTTCTTCGACTATGAACTCCTGTAATTTTCTGATCACCCTAAGAAAGAACCTGATGCAAACAAACTGAAGAAATATTTGCCTACCACACTGCGCTTCTGATTGGGCAACTCCTAGCGCACTACTTTCTTTCACCAATTGCTGTATTGTTTAAATTTCTTTAGTGTTTGACTTTTTTATACATTGGAATTTTCATAGAGCAGAGTCTACTTTTAAAAAAATAATAGGAAGAATGAGCACAATAAATAAAAATATTAATGGTTAATGGCTGTTTTCCATGATAAGATGCCGGATTTGATTCCCGAGGCAAAAAATTGTTGCAACATTTCTTTCAAATCGTCCCAGTTTCTGTAGCTGAGTGACGAAGAAAAGGCGGTGTTTGCTAGTTACGGTGAAGGGGAAAAGTCATGTTTGCCACATGTCTCTCTTTATCCCCAAGCGTGGGAATTAAATTAGGCCCAGGCAGGGGGGACACAGTTAGCTAGCCGGCAAAGTCTTCAATCGACCAGAAATGTCACATACGAGGGTTGCCTTTTATATTTCAGGATTAGAGAAGAAAAACAAATATTAATCATCGAAAATCACTTTATTGTTTTTCAAAATATTCCCCATGAAGATCTATACACTTTTGCATGTGTTTCAACCAATTGTCGAAGCACTTTTGCCACTCTGATTGAGGTATCTCCAAAGCCAAGTAAAATGGCTGTCTGGTGGCTTCAATTACTTTGGACGAGATGTGACTGCCAATTCAATCTCGTGTCCATGAGGACACCCAGATAGCGAATACATGGTGAGGAAATAGGAGAAAGAGGAGGATAGGGCATTTATTGTTTTTCTTAAGATTTTATTTTGACAGTTTTGTAACTTATTTAATGTGATTGGGGCAGGTAAAATACGGGGCATGCGTAAGTTAATATCGGACGAGAAATAGAGCTGTAAATGGTTAAAGAGGAATGCATTTTTAAAGAAGAGTTGCGATTGAGAATCGGACGTAAAGTAGTTAACCGTCTATTGGCTTCAATTACGTATGCTTTGGACCTGAATTGACCGTGCCAATTTTCTTTTGTCGATGACAACACCGAGATAACGAATAGATGAATTTTGAGGAGACCAGAGAATGATAGAAGGGTTGCATGTGGCTAAGTAGACGTCCTGTGCTGACGCGTGGTGTGTTGGTGGTGTTGCAGGTCGCGGCATGACCGGCGCCGAGTGCGCCGTGCTGAGTGCGGGCGCGCGCTGGACCGCCAGCTAAGCGCCGCCGCGCCCCGCCCCGCGCCGCGTCGCGTGGCGTAGGCCCAGGGCCCCTCGAGGCCTCCGGCTCCGGCTCGGGGGCGCCATGGCGGGCCCCCGGGGCGACGACGCCTACTCGCCCCCCTACCTCGCCAAGTTCTTTCACCAGTTCCCGCACCTCAACATCAGCCTGCACTTCGTCAACAGCACCTTCGACCCGGACAGCGACATCTACCTCGAGGTGAGTCACTCTGCATCGCCCGTCGGAATGGCCTTGTCCGTATTTGTCGTTTAAGAGCTGACAAAATGGATCGATGGAAATGAAATGCTGTGCAATAATGTTGAATTGAATTTAATTAATGCCTTATTTTACGTGGCGAGACTCGGGCTATCAGGCCCGCTCTTCCGTCTGACCACGCAAATTTCGCTACGCTCCTTTCACTAACTAGCGGAGAAAGGAGGTATTTCTTGGGCGAGAAACAGGCGACTATTTTGAATTTAGCTCAGAGACTTCATTTAGGCTTGAGGATCTTTTAGATGCAAGTAAATCTAATAACATGGGACAACCGGCTTTACTTCCCCTCCGCAGGAAGGCGTACGAAGGATTTTTTCGCCCTTAAAAACCCACGGCTTCGATCGGGTTTAAACCCGCCAACTTGTGTACAACAGCCCGGTACATCATTACACCATAGCCGTTACACCATCGCCGCCGCAATGTTCGTTTGGTTGTAATTACTGGCCATGTAAGGTCCGCGTGAGAGATTGATCGAGAAGGGAGGGAGAGAAGTGGAGGCTCTGTTACGCATCGTCCGTTTCTATACAAGTAAATTCAGTGGTGCGTTATCCATAGTTAGCCAACGTGGTTTGCTTTCATATTTCTACATGCTTTACAGTTAGAAATTTTTAGTTGTTATTTTAATTTCATTATTGTGTTTTAAAAGTGACGTTATGATCTATTTACATATATTGTGAATTACGTGCATTTAATATGTTGACAATATCTGTTTTTAAGAAGATATATGCGATAAAGAAGTGAACGGTGCGAATCATGAATCGTTAACGCTAAGTACTTGCTTCCTTTACTTCGTGTTTACAACATATTTTCGTAAATTACGAACTGGGGTTGATGGTTTTTGCCATTCATTACTAATAGGATGGGTCGTGCCAGTAGTTTGCGTGCTTGCAGACTATGCGGAAAGGTTCGCATTCGATTCCCAGTGCGGGCATGAGATTTTTGTTGCTTCAATAAAAACGCCGCCGTCTGGGGCAATTCAGAAACTGTTGATGGTGTGGCTGGTGCCGAATTTACTTTGGGTGCATGGGTTATAAAAGGTGCTGCAGCCTGTTGGTGCTTCGGCTCTTGCGGTTAGATGAAGGAAGCAAAGTACCTCACGTTATTGAAATTACCTATTTCGCTGCATTAGTGCTAACGCACCAGTGGTGCTTTGAGAATCCAATCACTCTGGTGAACAGCGTAAAGAGAGACAGGCAGTTTGAAGGAAATGGAAGTGTGATGTCGATCAATACGTTATAAAAACGCTATTTTAAGAACTTGGTGTGTTTGAAATATGACTTTAATATATACTCATATTAATATATATGCACTTTATTTTTACGAAAGAGTGTCTTATGCGGAAAAAATGAAAGAATACAAAGGTAAAGCGTTTCAAAAGGAGACATCCTGTCAAATATTTACTGTGTAAGTATGGTAAACATATGGGATTGGCTATAAGCGCTCGCCTACTTATGAGAATTAGCACTGGTTCGTGAAATTTCGAATCTGACGGAAGACTGAGAAAAGTTCTAGGTGCTGTCGAAATGCGTGTATGCGTAAACCTGTTCGAAAAGCGTTACCAGATAATGTTTCAAGCTGGGTTGAGACTTTTCTATTTTATATAAACCAACTTTGCCCATATACGTTTATATCGTAGTTATCACTATCGCATGTCGTGGTGTAATAATTTATTATACTAGTACTACCTCTAAATATACGTTTTTCAATCCAACAATTTTCTTCCCACTTCGAATTCGGCGCACACTACATTTCTTTCAATTATATAATTATTTTTCCAATGCCTCAAGTATTATATGTCAATCCATTTAATCTCATTTTGGCTTTTAAATCTGCAAATATTTTCACAAATCCTGTGAATTGAACATTTTTTCAAAAATCTCATCCGATTGTAATAAAACACTGTTTATTTACCTGTTCGGAGTACATTAAATATCTGGTTGTTACAGTATATTAAAGCTTCCCGCGGTAGATAAAACGGTACCTTATTATTTCCCATGGAGTAAAGGGTACGATCAAAATCATGTAGACAAACAAACAAAAAATGCGAAAAATGTTAAAAAGGCTATAGGATGAGACAAAACGTATGTTACACTTGGGTAAGAGAACATAAGCACATTATCTTTTTACTACTGAAAGCTGATTTCATCGTTTCTTTACTTTTTTTCACCACCAACTCTTTCGTTTCCGCGAAAGTCTAGAAGTGCGGAGGTTGCTGAGTCCACTTTGACTTAAGTGAATGAAGCGTATTTGTAGTGGCGACGTCTGGCTACGCAACTCGTGCTCGCCGTCGCCGTGAGGTTTTGCAGTCGTAAAATCGCCCAACGTGAGAATACACCTTCGTTTCAGCATTACGAATAAGCATGTGCAAAACCCGTAAAACGTAACTGCAAAATCCTTTAAAGAAAACGTTAACTGAAGCAATTCTACATCATGAAGGCCATGTGTCCCGAAAGATATTTTTATTGCTAGATAAATAGAATGAGTTATTAGTAAATGTTCCAAAATAAACATTTCCAATTCACAATTAAATATATAATCATGTGTATATTAATATATATTATTTATGTTATATATTCTGTCATAGAGGGCATTCCCTGTCTTACTCCATACTTTCTGCAGCTTTGTCCTGTACATAAGTTCAGCGTTACCAGTTTTTTCGCTCGGTATCTCAAAAGGAGTTAAACTTCAGAAAAATGTGCATATTCATTTAGATCGTAGTGTTTCTAAATTATTTATAATAGCCTTCATCAAGAGGCGTACGTTAGCAATGGTTATTTTTCTTTCTTTTCGCTTTCTTTTCTTTTTGTTTTGTTTCGTTTTCTTCTCTTTCTTCTTTCTTTCCCATCAATATCTTTCACCCTTATCGAAACACCTTAGTAATATTTTTAGGATTTTGCACATTCGTATGTGTACCATCAAAATGGAAGTGTATATGCAAGTGAATGGTCGTAGGAATTTTTGGTCAGTCGAGCATTTGCCCTTCTAACTTGACTGAAGCAGTCTTCTCGTACTGGGTCCTCCGCGAGAGCGCGCCAGTAGACGGCGGCCTCGCGAGGCGTCTCGTGTGTGACTCACTGCGCACGTGGGGGCCAGGTGCAGCGCCGCGGGGGCCTCCGCGCCCCCCTCGCGGGGCCGCCCCCAACGCAAATTGCGCCCGCCTTGGGCAAACACTTGGCCCAGCCCCCGAACGGTAATTATGACGTGGGAGTGTATACCCGGCTGAGAAACAAGCAATCGGCGGACATAGCTTTCTTTCTTTATTATTATTATTATTATTATTATTATTATTATTATTATTATTACTACTTATTTTACGTCCAAAACAGAGACAGTGTGTGACGCTATGTGGATAAGTGTATTCTGTGAACGTTTTGTTAATTCTAGGAACCCTGCCATAAACCATTTAGAAGTTGAATTCTAAACACAGAAAGAAATGAGCGTTTTTGACAAGAATGGTTAATAAAATATTCGCTCTCATGTAATAAAATATATTTTCAAGGACAAATCAGCTATAGATTTGGACTCTTGCCCCTCAACATATCCTTCGTGAACGAATATATTTCGGGCTCCGACAACGTATAGCTGTTGTTGCGGGAAAACTTCTGTAACATAACATGCGCTACCCTACCGGTTTCGCAAACATACATTAGAATATGCGGAGGCTAAATTTCATCTCTCTGCTTTATCCGTCCTAGTGGGAATACAAAGGTGATGCTCCTTTCTTTGGTTTTTCTCTTTTCTTTATTCTTCTTGAACCTGAGTTTTTATTCTTTCTTATTCTCCCCAATTCATTTTACCTCCGACAATCGTTCTTTCCTATTATCCATTTCGTTCCTTGAATGTACAAAATGCTATAGTTACAAGTTCGATCAGTGAAATTGTGGTCTTCCTAAATAGTAAAAAAGTGGATAATTGTAAAATTTGATCAGTGTTCGAACTATACCTTTCCCAAGAAGTAGGGAGACGCCAACGTTAATTATATGACGGTCGTGTATACCTGGTTACGTAATCGGTACGTAATACCTGTGCACATTATCAGTAAGCATAGCTGTGGATGCGCGAAAACTTGCGTGCGATATTGTGTGGTACCGTACCAGTTCGTCAAACATTCTCGGGAATAAAAGGAGGGGTGCTATCTTCGGCCTAGTGAGAAAACAGGCAACACACTTTCCTCTGGTCCCTTTTATCCTCCCTCAATTTCTTTCCGTCCTCCTTATTCTCCCCATTTTGATATCTAACTCTCATTCATTCCCGTTATTCATTATTCTTTCTTACATATACTAAATTCTACCAGTGAAATAGTGCTCTCTCTAAAGAGTAAAGACCTGGAGTCTTGCAAAATGTGATCACAGTCATCGAACTAGGCCTTATCCGAAGATTGAAGTACGCTGTAAGGCCCGTAGTTTTAAAAATATGATTTCCGTTTTTTTCAATTGAGTGGGGGTTTGGCTATATCGAAGATAGAGCTATTGCATCAAATACTTTACTCATATTGTCTATTCTAGTGCCATTAAAAAATATTCTGAATACCACCTGCGATCTCTGAGCAAATATCTTTTTAGATAACTACGAGTAAGAGCAGTTGTTTCAGGGCGAAAATTGAACTGCTAAAAGTTCAATTTTTATCTCCGGTGCTAAAAGTGAGACGATGATCCAGTGCTCAGATAAATTTGTGTATGCAACAAAGAAATATATAATTTCGTCTTGCCGCATCCGTTACTACGGACCTTAATGTACCATTAAGTGATTTGTATACTTGAATTAATACAAAATGAAAGTCAGTAAGGCTGTCTAAAAAAAAGTGTATGCCACACGTGTTAAAATTTATTTTATTTTGCTCGTAGGATTGCACCACTCGGTCTGTCGATCTCGTATCGCAACATTTCTTACTAACAAAATAAAAAGTCACTTTTACTACTGGTGTCATTAATATCGATTCTGTAGAC